TGTTACTTGTGTTTAATTTTAATATCAATATTAAAATTAGTGAGATTATATTTAAATATATGTGCACATGTATTTAAATGGATTATTATTATTTAATTAAATGTTAATATATTATTGTATATATATTAATTGATTCTAATTGTAATAATAATTAATTAAAATTTAAAACACCAATTAAAGGGTGTTTCGTTCCAATGGTGAACAAGGGTTGGAGCCCATGGCTATTCCTAAGTGGAATATGGTTTTTAATTGTTGCACTATATAAGTGCAACTTAAAATTAAAAACACATGAGAATTATTCATTTAAATAAAACCCTAGTCACCCAAAAGCTCTCTCTCTCTCTCTCTCTCTCTCTCTCTCTCTCTCTCTCTCATGTTTTCACTCTCTAGTGCAAGAGAAAAATTTCATATTCTCTTAATCTTTCTTGATTCTTGAAGCCTTTGGTTATTCTAGCAAAATAATCAAGGGTTCTGTGGATTGTCTTTGTGTGGACAACATGAGTGTGTTTCTATGTTGAATCGATTAATGAAATCAAATCCGGAGATATTTGGAGGAGCCTCCAAATGTGTGTAAGCATTCTGAATCCTTGTATGGATTTATTATACTGTTGTAATGCAGAATTTATAAACACTATAATCTATACCCAGATTTGGGATTAAGCATTTGATCGGTTTTTATTTGTTTTAAAACTGTGGTTTTCCGTTGCGTATACCCGATCACTTGCTAATAGAGTGTGGTGGTGCAAATAATGACAATTATGAAGATTGTATCAAAGAAGAAGAAGCAACTAACCGGAACTGTAAAGGCAAAAAGACTAGTGGAAACAATGGTAAACATCAATTTTCTCTTCTTCATCTAAGAGTAAATTTATGTGCATGTTTAAATTTTATGCTAATATGTGATGGTGTAACTATAACATATTGGTTAAATTTGATGCAGGAGGATCTAAGAGAAGGGCTATTGTTAAAGCTGGATTGCATGAAGGAGTTGGCGTAGTCAGTCACGATCAACTTCAGAACCCCTACTTCATGTCGAAAAATAAGGGGTACAAGAAGAATCACTTGGTAATGATCTGTAAACCATAGTGCACATTATACATAAATATGATGATCATAATTTGATAGTTTGATTTTTGGGAAATGTGGATGCAAGAAGAGAGAAACTCGCGCTTATGTGAGCAACTTGGAGGTGAAGATGGAAGAGAAAGAAGAAGGCCATGAAAATGATGGTGATGGAGATTATATCAAAGAAGAAGAAGGCGTAGAGGAGAAGAATACAAAAGAAGAAGAAGAAGCAACTAATCGGAAGCGTAGAGGCAAAAAGACTAGTGGAAACAATAGTAAACGTCTCTTTTCTCTTCTTCATCTATGTTGACGCTTGATTTTGGACGCCAACGACTCGCACGTGAGAAGCACTAAGCGAACTTAGGAATCACACGTGATGGATCCATGAGATTTGAATATGGAGCTGAGATTATATATGTTGTAGAAAATATAAATAATAGACTGACAAGAGAGGTTTTTATAGTGGTTCGGATGCTCAACAAGCGACTCCTACATCCACTGTTATTTTATTGATCTCTAACTAATATTGCCCATAAGGCATACAAAGATGAAGAAATACAGTATTTACAAAGAGAAAGAATTGAGCTCTTATCTATAGTTAGCTCTCATATGCCCAGCCCCCCTCTTCGGGAAGAGAAGTGCCAATTTATACACCTTTACGCTCAATGTAATGAGTGTTTTGCAAGTTGCCTTGACACATGGAATGCTCTTATCCATTCATCTCTTGAAATGAGATATGGTTGGTATGAATATCTTTGAGGAGATATGAGTTTGACAGCTAGTACAAAAAGACATTTATTAGGCTGACATAAGCGTGACTTTTTAGGCATAACAATCTACAAGTAAATTTATGTGCCTGTTCGAATCTTTTGCTAATGTTTGATGGTGTCACTATAACCTACTAGTTAAAGTTGATTTAGGAGGATCTAAGAGAAGGGCTGCTGTTAACGCTTGATTGCACAAAGGAGTTGATGCGGTCGGTCATGTTACACCTCAAAACCCCTACTTCATGTCCAAGGGGTGTAAGAAGCAATATTTGGTATTGATATCTCCGCTCATCTATAAACCATAGTTTACATGGTTTAGTTTGGCTTGAATTTACTGGGGTAAAACCATTTACTTTATATTTGTGTTATGCCGAAAAAAGTAGGACTGACGTGGAGTTATATATTGTTATGCCTGGAAAAGTAGGGCTGACATAGAGCCCAGTCAGCATAAATGGTCAGAGTCTAGACAGATCCTATAGCCGTTTAGGCGCGGCCACATCTCATGCTAGCGTAAGCAGCATGTTCCTGCCAGTACAGGGGGTGCCCGCCAGACTGACGAGAGGCTAGAGGCCGCCCACGTGTCCAATCCCTGCATGAACCGAGGAAATCACTTGAGTAGGTGAACAACGGGACGCAAAGAAGTATTTGCACGGTACTATCCCCTTTTTACGGATTCAGTAATCATTACCTCAATGTATCCTACTATAAATAGAGAGTTTCTCTCCCGTTTGTGGGATTCGCTCATTTTTTTACTCTTGACTAACTATCTTCTCTCTGTAATAGCTTATTCTCTCTCTCTAATTTGTATTCTCAATACTCTAAAAGTCGGCTCGCTGAGTCGCGACTTGATCCTTCAAATATAAATACAATATCCATAGACGTAGGATTCACTTGTTTAAGTATCCGAATCACTTTAAACATTATATTTCCACCATTTATACTCTCAATCCCTCATTCACATGTGTCTCTTGAATCAGCTCAACGTTTTCATATGCGAATAGTTGGTATCAAAATCAAACATCGACATATATGTTAATGTAATACACCACACACGTTCGTTATATTTTTATCTTATCATCAGTTGGTTGTACAAATAACTATCATGGTACTCTGCCTGATCATCCATGTAATAGAATATTGCTAAAAGCACAACCAGTATCACAATACACTTGGTGACTTGTCTCACCGGAAACTTCATTGATAATTAATCATCCTACGATACAGTGCGGATACTGTAGTATAAGGAAGCAACGCTAAAGACACTGTACCATTACCCCGACATATTTATCAGATCAACTGTTTTATGTATGCAATTAAGTGGGTTGCACATGAAAGACAGAGAGAGAGAGTATTGAATGTAGCAAAAGGCACATTTATTGAACAGATTGAAAAGAGAAAAGGGCTCGATTTGAGAGACAGATAAGAAGGAAATGCAACAATTGAATCACGACAACTTACCCCCCACTATTAGCTTTCCACCGCCCCCACAAAAGCCTCAGTTTAATTGCCTCTATCACTCTTAAATCTTAATTTCACATAATATTTACATAAAACATCCAGAAAAGTTCTAGCTAATTAAGAGTCTGTAAATATTATTATTATTAGTAAATTTAACTTAGGATAACCAGGAGAGGATCAGTTGGTTTGACCTCCTCCTCCAGAGCCTACCGATGGCCTCTGTGGTCTCTTTTTCACTCTTACTGCCCTCGACTCCACCACAAACTCTGCCTCCTGCATTTTATATGCATCAATCAGCATTACATTAATTAATCACTTTAAATCTGGAAATGTAAATCAGCGCAGAGAAAATCTTCGGTGAAACAGACGTATCAGATCATTAACACACTCATTTTAATAATTAAACATAAAAAAAAATGAACAATTTATGTTGAAATAGAGGGGATGTTTTTAACATGATTGACGTGTTACGTCTGTTCTACCTGAGATTGTTTATACTAACGAAGTGAGTGAGTGAAAGAGAGATGTATACGTACAGTTGTTTTCATTGCTCTTTCTGACAATAAAGGAGAGTTTGTGTGAGCAAGAAGAGTTGTGGAGTGATCATCTTCATCGTCTTGACGACCAAAGCACTTGAAGCAAGCATTGACAAGTTGGTTAAAGAGATGAAAAGGGCTGTAAAAATTATATGTTTCTTCTCCTCTTTTCTGCTCTTCCATTTCCCTTCTTCTTATTCTTCTATCTTGTTCTCTTTCGCTTAGTGTTTGTTTGGTTCGGTTCGGTTTTCATAGTTTACCTGCCACTTTATATCTCCTATGATTCATAGAGAGACACCTACCACACTATATATTTAATGATATTTCTCTTTGGAGGCCTTTAGTTTGTTTTCTTTCCTTCCTTTTTATAGGTGAAAATTAATGCACATCTTGAGTTTAATGATTTGGAATAGTTTCATTTATGTAATATGAATGTGTACTTATGTGACATATATAAATAATATGGGTATCATATAACATATGATGACATGCTATTTTATATGACATAAACATACAGATAATGATTCATATATTAAGATATATAGTAATATATATTCATTAATATTATAAAGGATATCACATTAATCTTGATGAAAAATTCGGTTTTAAACTCACCTATGGATAACCCAACGGTAAGGGCAAATTAGAAAAATTGTGTATGACTTCAATCTACTGTCTCACGTTTGATTCTCTAGTGGACACAAAGGTATTATCTCTGCCCATAATTTACATGGGTCACGATGATAGGTTGTTGTATAATATATAGCTTTTTTTCTGAGGATTAATTAAGATGTGAGTAAATAAATCTTTTTTGACTTTATTCTTTTTGGGTTTATATTATAATTATCAAAAATTTGATAAACTTTTAAGATGGATAATTTGACATCCCATGTTAAAAAAAAAAAAAAAAAAAAAAAAAAATTTACAAAACTGAATTTTACAGAGGTGTTTGCTGAGACAAAGGTTGAGTGATGGATTGGACAACCCAATCAATAAGTCATGGACGTTTCTTCCTTGTCTAAGAATAATCTAAAATTCACTTGCCTTTTGCACAAGTCTATCATTTGTTATTATAAGTTTATTATGGAAACTTAATAAAGGTCAGTGGCTTATTTATTATTAATTATTAAACTTACCTAAACACCAGAATGTCCCAAACTCACCATTTATTAGCTTGGTAAAGAAAGAGAGTTAATTTACTCGTTCTAGCATGCACACAGGAGATGGTTGATATTTATATATATACCATCCAAGAAGAGTTCAACAAATTAATTAACTATAAAACTCAAAAATTTTGAGAGTCTCAGAAGTCTTTAAACACTGTAAATATTACTATGATCAGTTGATTTGACCACCTCCTCCAGGGTCTATTGGTGGCCTTTTTGGGACTGTTATTGCCCCGGACTCCACCCCAATCTCTTCCTCCTGCATTTCATATACATTAACTAAGCAAATTAATTAGATCTCAAAGCATGTTTCAACGTAGAGGAAGTCTTCTTTGAAACGAACATAAATATCAGATCATTCATGTATCTATTTAATAAGATCCCACCATTAAGCAAGAAAAGAGAAAGTAAATACATAAGTCATGAATGATACGTCTGTTAGACCTAAGATCGTTTATATTATATGTGAAATAGAGAGAGAGATTATACATACAGTTCTTTTCGTTTCTTTTTCTCCTTCTGTTCCTGAAGGAGAATTTGGATGGGCTGGAGGAGTTGTGGAGTGTTTATCATCACCTTCTTCACGACCCAAGCACTTGAAGCAAGCTTTGATAAGTTGTTGAAAGAGAGAACAAGGGCTGTACAAATAATATGTTTCTTCTCCTCTTCTCTTCTCTTCTTCTGATTTTTCCATTACTCTTTCTTCTTCTTCTTCTTCTTCTTTTTGTCTTTGTTTATTAGGTTTGTTTGATCTTTCATATTAATCTCACTTCACCAGCCAAATTTATAACTCCTGTGGCTCCACAGAGACACCTGCCACTATATTTAATGACTTCGATCAGGCTCTTTTGATCCCCCATTTATTTTTTCTTTTTTAAAGTAAATAATGGATAAATATATATTACATACATTCATTTGTGTTGATTACTATTAGATTGTATTGAATTCACGGTTGAACATTTGTGTAAAAATAAGTCAAAATTTTAAGTTAAAAGAGATACTATCTTATATATAAATAATATGATAATTATATAGTCATTGAAATAAAAATATTTGATGTATATATTGAGTGGTATGATATTATTCCGTGTATAAAAGCAACGCCATATTTTGTGTGGCATTGAGGTGTAGATAATGAATTAATGTTTGTGATAATAAGTTAATATTATTTAAATACTAATGAAATGATATCATAATACCATTATACTACTACTATTAGATCATGAACAACGTTATTCTACAACGGGACCATCAATTGGATCTTGGTCTAGTGTTACTATCACCCTAATATTGTATGTAAAAATCAGTCAACTATTACGATAATTTTATTATTAGATGAATAACATTGTTCCTCATATCATATGGATCGTTGGATCCTAATTCATTGGATGTTAGCAATGTTACTAAAATATTATAAATGTAACATAATGTTGGTGTCAAAGTTTCACATCAGTTAGGAGACAGGGGTTTTGGTCTCTTATATAGTACAAAGACACCCTCATCACTTAGATGCATCTTTTCAAGATAAAACCGTATGGGTCTTAAGGTCTAAAACAAACGATACCTCTAAGAACTCACCTACCACGTGTCTGGACCCATCATATATCAACAATTGACGTTAGAAGGAGGGCGTAGGCCACTGCCAAGCACTCCCCCGAGAGACTGTATTAGTGCCAAAGTCTCACATAAATCGTGTGGACCTCATAGCCTAAAGCAAACAATACCTTTAGGAACCCATACATGCACACTAGTAAAAACAACTAATCTAATGCAAAAGTATCATCGCCAATAATTATTCATGGACTACTAAGGGTAATGTGATTATCATATGAATGATGTTTATTGTCGTCTAAACTTTTAGGTTATGATCTAGTTGAAGATAATGTTAGCTCAATATTGTAAACAGTAATACTACACTCACAAACCATTCTCATTAACTTTTTTTCATAAATGCGAAGAGTCAGCTTATAATAGATTCCATCTAACTAAATACGAGTTGACCAATTATAAACTATCATACCAGTATTTTAAAAGAAAATTATGAAAATTGTTTCTCAACCTAATTTATTCTATTGTAAATCATATAAAGTGAAACTACTAGTAACTTAGGGGGCTTTAGCCTTTAGGTTTAGAAAAAGCTTTGACTGATGGATGGATTGAATTTTGAAAAACCCATTTCAACAACTCATGGACGTTTCCTCCTTGTCAGGAATCTTTTAAAATCAATAACAAATCTCACAATATATATTCTGAACGATTACATAATCACTTGAATCTCTCCATGGGATTTGTATTTGATACAAGAAAGATGCTAACATTATAAAGAAATATAAAGATGGACATATAAAAACAAATCATACCCTTAAAACTCTTTTTTTAAGGGTATGATTTATCTTTATATGTCCATCCTTATATTTCTTTTTGTACGGCTAGCATTTCTCTTGATACAATAACATGACATTAATCAGTACGATATTATTTATGATTTCCATAACAAGTATAACAATGGTTTAGGTAAATAGCTACTAATGTTTCAATTCAAAATTCTCTAATCTCGACATTAACACCAACTATTAATTAAACAAAATTTCTATCAAATTTATCAATACAACAAGGTTTTCAGAAATTTTTTTATGTCACCGTTGTACATATATAACCTTTACCATTAATCTAAATCAAACAAGTTTTATACAAAGAAGTTTATATATATATATAACTAATGATTAGTGCAACAATCCACCGTCACAGTCCCCTACTTAAATCATGGATGCTCAGTTAGAAAATCAAATCTGAGTGCATGTGTCTATCCACACTATCCTCAAGTCGACCTAACTATTTATTCACGGATGGGTATAAAGAAGTTTATTTTATTCAATATACATCAAGGTGATATAAATTAATAATTTTTGGCAACAAAGATTATATAGGTAGAGATTACAAATTCTCGTAAATTTAGGAATTATTTACACTCAATCGTGGATTTATTATTCTCCTAAACCATTATTTACGTCTTTTTCGTCGTCTAGAACTTTTTACGTTACACAATTTTAAAGAGTTAGTTGGGTTACAATTAATATTGGAAAAGGAAACAGCGAACCATGGGCTTTGGGGTTATCTTTACGGGAGAACCACATTTTCCCACCCAAAGTTTGGTGAAATGACACTTTCCCACCCATCAAGTTTCAAAATAACACTTTTCCACCCTTCGTTAGGTTCTGTTAGTGTTTTCTGTTAATATTTAACTAAAAGACAAAAATACCCTTAAACAGTTTATCATAAATTAAAATTTAGTTAAGTGACAACCTTACTCAAGTGTAAACATACATTTTTTCCTTTGTTTATTTAATTAATTAGGAATATTAATTATTAAGATTTTTTATGTTAATTAGTAAAAATAAAAAATATTATATTAATAGATTATTGAATAATAGTGATGAGATATTTATGACATTATAAATAAATAAATATTAAGGTTATTTAATTTTAAACAATTTTATAGCATCACTCTTAACTTTTTAATTCGGGTTAACTATTTTTTCTTTTTTGACTTTTTAATATCTTACTTTTTGACTAATTCAAAAATAAAAAAAAAATATAAAGTCAAAATTTAAGGGTATTTTTGTCTTTTCATTCAAATATTAACAGAAAAAATAACAGATTTTGATGAAGGGTGAAAAAATGTTATTTTGAAACTTGACGGTGTCCTTTTGCCAAACCTTGGATGGGAAAATGTCGTTCTCCCTTATCTTTACATTATGAACTCATGATAGAGATTAAAGATGGGCAATCGATTTGTGTAAATCATGAATCCTGTTTGTTGAGTAATTATTTTGCATGATCACAAGAAAAATCCCATTATACTTTCTCAGATAATTAGTAACTATATAATAATAATATATATTTTTTTGGGATTTAAAACAAGAATATTATTATAATCCATGTATTGTACAGGAATTTTTGGTGAAGCTAAAGACATTAGGATAACAAGTAATTTATTTAATTATTATTATTATTATTATTATTATTATTATTATTATTTTACTTTATAACATCAGTGAGATCATGAGAGGAAAGAAAAGCCTGGAGATTTATTGGTAACTACACAAGGAATCAAATCTTGAATTTTAATAGTATTAAATTGCTTTCCACTTTTAACATCCTTAAGAGGCAAGGATTTATTGATAACTACAACGAGGAATCAAATCTTGATTGATCTTAGGAAAATAGTTTTGCGACACAGTTTATGTTGAGAAAACGATTATTGTTACAGCGAATTGTTGTAGAACAACTTAAACAATGCTTCAATGACGCACTTTATCAATCACTTTTGACCATTGTTTTAAAACCTAGATTAGAGGGTAATCCATTTTGTTGCTCGAGTCATGGGTCAATCGATCCAACCGATTGAGTCGACCGGTTGGATCAATAACGTCAACGATAATTTTATTTTTAAAAAATTATTGGTAATCCCTTAAATTTTAATATATTACAAAAATTCCCCTAAAAAGTTCAAATTAGTCCCTAATATTTTTATTTATTTAAAAATACCACCAAAAAATATCAATTAATCCCTAAACTTTTGACATATCTCCAAAACACCCAATAAAATTACAATTAACCCTTATAATTTTGAAATATTACAAAAAAACTCCTACACCTGAACCGGACTGGAGAAGCTGTTGGGTCTCAGTCTAATCGGCCGGTCTAGTCCGATTTTTGAAACAGAGCTTTTGATTGATCGGATGACATGATAAAGACTTTTGAATTTCTCTCGATTGTTAATAGGGGTGATCATTAGAGGATTTATCTTATCGTTAATTTCAGGCTACCGAGAGTTAATCAAGATGTGCACAGCTGGTTTGGACAATTCGGATCACAAAAATGATTAATTGAGGTATACGTACACTAGTTGAATACCCCCTGTCACCAAAAAAAATTAAAAGGATGAACTTTATAATGTTGTAACAAACATAGAGTGACACGGTTTTAAGGTATATAACTAAATATACATTGCCGGCCAAGACTAAAGATTAGAGTTTTGTTATGTTATAGGAGGTAACGTTACCCTGATACTATCCTATCACCCACTATTAGTTTTCCGAAGATCTGATGATGTTATCAAACTAGCAATATAATAAATCCATTGACGCGAAGAAGACGGGTCGAGATAAAGTGGAATTTTTTTTTTTTTTTTTTTTTTTNTTAAGGAAGTCCAAAACAATTATTGAATTGTTTACAAGGATTCCTATATAAAGAAAATGATATATGAATTTTTGTGTAGAGAAAAATCTCTAAGAACCCTAAATTTTCCTCTTGGTCAAATCTCTTCTTCCCTTGGTGTGGATACTCTTTTGCTTAGTTTCTCTTGAAATTAAGAGTCTCCAAAGTTGCTAAGGACTTAAGGTAACATGTTCTACCTTACTTATTTCAATTTGATTGAAATTTTTTTTTAAACTATGACTATACTTGTTATAGCATGATATGCTTGATTCTTCATGCATCCATCTTTCAGTGGGCATTGCTTTTGAATATTTAAAAGAGAAATCTTATACTTACAACTCAATTTCACAAACTTTTTCTCATAATTTTGATGTAATAATTCATAATTGGTAAGCTCGTAATGGGTCTCATCTGTCTAACAATGGGTCTCATCTATCTAATTGCGAGCTGTCACATCAAGGTTATGAAAAAAAATTTGTAAGATTGAATTATGAGTCAATTTTTATTATA